TTACCAGCCTTCCAGGGTTCATATCAATACTTTAGGAAGAAATCGTGCCGCATCTTTCATACTTTGTTTATCTTCAGGCTCGGGAGTTTCAACGTGAAGTCAGAAACAAAGGGTTGTATTATCGCTTGAGGGCCTTTACTGGAGACGATGTGTCGTCAATGAACTGGTACACAAAAGGAAAGACAAAAAAATGCTCCGAAATAATGTTATGTACATAGGATTGTGGAGAAAGTAAATCGACTGGTTTTTTAATTAATGTTGAATTTTGATTGAACATGTTCTCAGATAAAAAAAAATCATATACGTAAAGGAGTTGGTTCCGAGAGAGAGTGTTTGAGAAAAACTTCACATTTGTACCTTTGAAAATAACAGTTTAAAATTGGTCCACCCTATTTTGCTGTTTTTCATCGAGAAGAGATCGAAGGATGCATTTTGGAGTACAATTTGACGCTCTCATAAAAATTTCAAAATACGTGATAATGTAGTAATCTTGATGTCTAGAATTGTGGCAAAATGACTTTATTTAAATATTTCACATCTACAAATAAAATTATATGTACAACTTTATCCAGATGCGGTTATTTTCATTAGTAATGTGATTACCCACTCGTCATATATACACGAGAGTTCTAATTCCTACCGTTGTCGTGCAAAAAGCTCTGGAAGCTCCAGAGCTATTTCGCGAGACAACCACAGTTGAACGCTTTTCGAATTAGACTACATTAGCAGGCAACGACATCATTGCAACTGAATCCAAAACACAAATACGCTGATAACGAAACTTAACTTTGTACAACACTATACAATAATTATCAAACGTGCGCTTTCATCTTTTTAGTTTCATTTCGCTTGTGAAATGACCATAGAATCGCCTGTGAACATGACGAAGAAAACTAACGCATCAAATACACGCTGGACCGGACAAAGTGTCTGTACGTATGTTGTTATTCTACGGAGTTTTGTTCGATGATTTTGAGCTTTCGTTCGCATAAATTTGTTACCCTTGTGTTTGGAATTTTTTAAGAAGTTTCTTAGTTTTTATTTTAGCCAAATATCGTGGCTCATTCAACAAGTTTAGTACATGTTTTCTGAGGAGTTTGGATTCTAGCCTATTTTTTCGAAAATGGATTTTTTACAGAAATCGCGACCGTGTAATCTGCGCTTTTCCGCGCATGAGGCGTTAGGATACATTTACCTTAAGTTCCTTACCTTAAAGGTTCCTTGCCAAGTTGATTTTGTTCCCATTGGTTTTAGTGATTTCTTTGGTTTAACGACACTCGCAAGTTAAATTTGGCACTAAATACCTTGTGTGCACTCACGAAATGTGTCTGTTAGTCTGACTGCAGTTGACGTTTAACTCACCTGCCCTTTGTTAAAGTGATTAAACATAGTGAAAATCACAACCTCACAGCCTGCGTTTATATAGGAACAAAAGGGACAAGTTTCTAAAGAAACTGTCACAGTGGTAATGCGTTGGTAGGGGTACTACAACATAATTTAGTTTTATCAACTGAGTTGATAATGAAAATCAGCCACCATAAAGAGGTTCTAAAACTGAAGTTCTAGCGTTAAATGTTCGTCAAAGCGAAAGACGAAGGGCGAAAAGAATTTAACTAATTACAGTCCAAAAATGTCCCACAGGCTTTAACTTTGTTCGCTCTCCGGTTCTTCCTCCTCGACCTCATTAATAACAGGAAACACGTGTTCTTCCTGAGCCGTTAAGCGACCTCTCTGTTCCAGTTCCTGCTCGATCTGCTGCAATCTTCTGTACTTACTGACATGCTCAGCGCGGACTGGACCGCCGAGTTTGATGAACCGCGCACCAAAAGCCACTGCCTGAAAAATAAAACACGGCTGCTATTATTAGAGAAAAAAAAAAATTACAGCTGCAAGGAAAGGCAAGATGCATTCCAAGAGCTCAACCATTAACCACGTATTTCCACCTTTCTGTCGAGAGCTCTAAAATTCGAGTTAAGTTTTCCACGTGCGAACACGCAAATGGTGAAACGCGCGCGCTCGCACCGTTTGTCTGCGTCACGACTGCACAGTTACTTACGCGATACTGAAGAAAAAAAACCAACGACTCTTGCGCAATAGAGGAAAGTACATCTGAACAATGAAGTATGTTACATTTGGAATTTCGTTTTTTAGGTTAGAGAGCTAACGTAGATTTCCATTTAATTCAGTCTTTCCTTAAGATTTTCCCCGACAAGAGAAAACTTTGAACATTTGAAACAGTCTTTTGATTCACGAGCGTAAAGATCCGTGTGTTTGGAAACGTGTTTTCGAGCTAAAAGTGTAAATCTTTATCTATTTAGCTATGAAGTGGGTAAAATTTTGTTGATTTTCCCGGGCTCCGGCTTTTCACGTCGGAATGAACCACAGTGACACAATTCAAGCTGTTTTACGGGTAACCCTCACCGTGACAAGTAAGGTCAAGTTGAGCTTATCAATAGACACTTAAACGCAAAACTGACCACAGAATTTAACTAAATATCCAGAGATGTTAAGGGCAATGTATTCCTCATAACTATAAATAAATCGACCAAACTTTTCCATTGCTTATCGACATCAAATGCAGTATCCTTAGCAAAAATCATGTCAAGTATTTCAGATGAAACCTTGCAGACTGTGGAGACACTAAGATGATGAATGAAATGTTCCTATGACATTCAACTTTGATTCAAGAGTGATATTGTAAGGGGAAAATAGGAACCAGTCACTCTTATTGGCTAAGGGTTAAATTACAAAAGTCAAAATCTAAGGGAAAAGGTTAAGGTATGTTTAACTTAGTTAGAACTCTTGGAAACTTGAATTGGCAGTCAAAACAAACGGTAAACCACTGTTAACACAAATCCATGATGAAATAAACAAAATAAAAAGAGCAAATCTTTGAGACGTTAGCTGCTAAACATGATTCTTAGAGAAAAGTCAGACAGACCTGCCTTGAAAACTTGACTTTATGAGAGTAATGGTTAAAAATAACGGTTTCATAATTTCACCAGTCTCTACCAGCAATGTATAGAAAACATTATACATAAAACAAAGAAAGAAGAGGAAATAAGTTCAGCGACAAAACAACAAAAAATGATTCTGCAAAGGACTTTTATTAGCTGTGTCTTGCTGATATATTCTACCTGTCACTTCTGCCAAGTTTGTGTTTCTTCCCAAACAGCAGGTGAGAGCGAATATTTAATTCCGTTATTTCACCGCGGTGAGTGGATAATCCTTCGCTTTTTGGTAATTCATACGAAAACATCCACCAATTGTCAGCAAACGCTTATAGCTTAAGAATGAAGGCTCGCGCAAAAGGATCAAAACTAGCGACCGTAGGATTTACACTAGCCTTGTCATCTCATGTTATAACTAGGAAACATTTGAAATGAATGAGTCGGACAACGGTGAACATTTTGACCGTCACATCTAATACCTTCGATTCTATACTACGCAAGGTTTGCTTGTTAGAATTGCTAAGAACGGCTCTGAAACGTAAAAAGTTTCATCTTGCTTAATTTCTACTCCTTCAGCAAGGTAAAAAACCCATGAGGAATTTTGTTCCGCTGCTTAAACCTGTCTTCAGCTAAACGGTTGGTCAACAAAAGCAATCTAGCGGTTTGGAGTGTTCTAAGCTATCGGCCTCCTTCATCAACGATTCAACACCAAGAAAAACTTGCGTTTCTGGACAGAAAAATACCGTTTCGTTATATATTTGAAACTAAACAAAAGGTGTGGGTGAAGTAAACGAATTAGCCGTGTTTTTTTTTCTAACTCTCGCGGTCTCAGATTAAGCAGGTCGTATGACGGGTTTTTATGTGACGTCAAAGAAGATCGAGTCTGACCTACTTTTCCTACCCGTACAAAGTTCTTAGCGAATTTCAGACAACGCTTTTGCCATGGAGACCTCGATTTCATCTTCATGTCACAAAACTGTACAGCCAACTCAAAATTGAAATGAAACCAAGCTAAACTGATTGAATTGCAAAGATCCACTTTACACCAACAAACAAAAATATTGTCCACAAAATTGACTTTTATAGCTTCTTGAACAACTGCTAAAGAGAAGCCTATCGAAACCTAGTAAACCAATTGCTGAATTAATACAGTGCTCTTTGAAAAGGAAATTCCGGAAAGAGTGAAGACCTTCGGGTGGAATACACCGTAATGTTATGACGTTTGCCGAAGTCTTTCACTATTAACCCTTAACTCTAAAGATCTGATTTTTTTAATTCCCCCGTCTAGCTGCTACACATTTCTTTTCAAATTAGTTACGAGAATTAGATAAAGATAACAACTTCTACCTGATAAGTTCGAGTATTCTCATTACCTGTTTGCTGAACGACGTATGGATATTATAGGGAGAGGTTATCACTTCTGGGGGTTGACAGGTTACCACACAGACCTTTACCAAACAGACCAACACTAGTACCTTCACAAACTGGAAATTAGCGCCCAGGCTTATTCGAGGATTTACTGTCTAAACTCGAAATTTAGACTGAACAGTCTCAGGGGAAGCTTTCTGACTCCACCTTTTCCTTTGCATCTTTTCTCTAAGAGCTGTGTGGTGTAAGACCGAAATGGGCCGAGCAGTCAAGTGATAAAAGGATCACTGGAGGACATGAAGCTAAGCCCGGCAGCTGGCCCTGGATGACGAGCATTTTTGTTACGGGGCTGGGAGAGTATTTCAAATGTGGGGCCGCCCTTATATCGGACCACTGGGTCATCACCGCAGCTCACTGCACCATTGCCAATATTGGACCAATAGTAGCAGCAGCCAGTAAATATCCAGAGATGCTGAAGGTAATGTATTCCTCGTAACTATTGATATATCGACCAGAATTTTCCATTGTCTATTGACATCAAATGCGGTATCTCTAGCAAAAATCACCTCGAACATTTCAGACGAAACCTCGTACACAGTGGAGACACTTAAAGATGATGAATATAATGTTCTCGTGATCTTCAAATTTGATTCAAGAGTGATACTGTAAGGAGATAGTAAGAGCCAGTCACTCTTAGTGCTTGAGGGTTAAATTACAAGTCAAAATCTAAAAACAAACCTTTAATTCAAGGTGCGCGTTGGTGAACATAATTTGGATCAGCCTGAAGGAACAGAGGAGGATCTAAACGTAAAGAAAGTTGTGCTGCATCCTAAATGGGACATAGGAGTGGAAAACACGCCCAACGGAAAGCAAATTTATTCAAAACACGACATCGCTTTAATAGAGCTTAGCAGTCCGGTCAACTTTACTTCAAATGTGAAAAGCATGTGTCTTGATAACGGGCAACTCTTTAAAGCTGGTAAGAAGAATGGGAACTTATCAATCGTTTCTTGTCTGTCAGTTTTTACAATTTGCATGTTCAAGTAATTTTTTTTCAGATGTTGTTAGTGACGCTGCAAACTTGATCTTCAACCAATTAGAACGGAAAAATTTATGTCCTTGGAGAGGGAAACACGCTTGGTACACAAGCTACAGACTAGTCGAGTGGGTGGCACGACGTTTTGGAAACAACCAAAAATCATTTAAAAAAGTAGTGAAACAAAGTACACCACGCTCCCATAAAACATTACAATAATCAGAGCATAACTTCAACTTTGATCTATTTACCTATCTAGTTTGTTTTGTTCTTAGGCACGATGTGTTATATCGCTGGCTGGGGCACTAAGAAAGTAAAAGGCCCTGCTACAAGAATTCTTCACGAAGCCGCTTTACCACTTGTGTCGCATGAACAGTGCAATGGCCCCAAGTCATACAGTGGAGTTATCGGTGGCAACTTGATCTGTGCTGGATACAAACAGGGGGGTGTCGATACTTGCGAGGGAGACAGTGGAGGTGAGATGGACTTTTTTAACACTAAAAAATACAGAATTCGAAGGAAAGTGAAACGAGCCCCCTACTTACAACTGAAAACATTTTTCCATGCATCAGTCATATGTATTCATGGGTTTTACAATATCTAGAAATAGAGGAAATGAGGTTGCATCGCCATCGAGCACTGAGAATCATAAACACCTAGATAATAACTTTAATGGACAATTTGAACCACCTCCAGACTACCTACATTGGACGACCTTGATATCTGCAAAACATAACTCCAAATCCCCTCCCTTTTCAGCGTTTTTCAGACCACGTAAATCTCGATCGTTAAGTCATGATTCCTTTCATGTGGAGTTACGGCTGTCACAGGCACGATCTTAAAGAAGCAATGGACGTCGACCACCTAAAGCCTTTTTTATACCTGAGTAATTTGTCTTCAAGAATAACAAGAGTCCTTCCTTTTTCAGGACCACTAATGTGCCAAGGAGATGGAAAGAGGTGGTTCCTGACAGGAGTGGCGTCCTTTGGACACATTGGCTGCGGTGTACCTTACAAATATGGTGTGTACACACGGGTAGTGAACCATCTACAGTGGATATCACAAGTCACAGGGATGGACCTACCACAGCCACAAGTCGACTATGTACCGTTGATTACATAGAGATGATTGATGGCAGTGTAGTATTTGACGCTAGCGCGTTTACCGGCAGTTGGGAAGGAAGGAAGAAAGAAAGGAAGGATGAGGAAAGAGGGAGAGGAATTTACGCGACATGCCTGAAAACCATTACCTGCCTTTTGCAGCCATATTCATGAAGGGTCCTTTAAACAACCCTTGAGAAGAAAATCACAAACAGAAACTTGCCAAGAAGGCAAAAAACATGAAGTACATAGAGCACACCACCGCTTAAAAAAGGAAAATTTTACTCAATCTTCTCTTAATGGATGCATTTCCAATATCCTTTTAACCTCTACTATCTGATCCATACTGACCGGAGAGTACTGACATCAACTCGTACGTAATTTTTTCATTGAATAGTACTACGATCAATATTTCTTGATCAACATTTATGAATCACAAAGCTACCAAGTTCTTCAAGTTTTACGTTAACCTGATGCTTGAATATTGCCCTTAAGTTTTCTAGCCCTATAAGAAAAATTAACTACTTGTTCTATCGAGCATTCCCTGGAAAAATAATGAGTTAAAATAGGCGAGTAGTAAGCCAAAACCGAGCTAGTGATAACTCGAACAAAAAGAAACTATTTTAAGCACATCAAAATAAACAGTTCTTTCCTCCTGTCTTTACCGAAAAAAAGGAATAGCTGAATAAATAAAAAACCGATACACTAACATCAATATGCATATTCTCCATAATGTTCTCTACACATTTCCTAAGGTGCTGACAAGGCACCGATAAACAGTTAAAGCAAACGCACATAAAACGACCTTCAGCCGTGGGAAAAGCGAATGACCAAGTCATGATTAGCTTTAGTTTATCTGTTGACTGATGACGAGAATGACGTAAAATCTGTAGACCGAAAAAGGCGTACTGCAAAGCAGACGTGTAACAAATGTTGTGTCTAGTTGCTTTGGACATTTGTTCCTAAGACCAATCAAAATATAGCTTTTCATGCACCAAAGCATTACTTCCATCTCTCCATCCCCTCGTCGGGTCTTCTCCTTTACAGGTCAGCCATAAATAGTCGCTTTGCTTAGAAAACCATTACAGTATATTTACTTCTGGCGTAGACAATCACTGCCAATCAAAACTAGATTACAACTTAAGTTTAGATAAGTAAAGGAAAATTTGATTCTATGTGAGTGAACAAGTCAACAAAACTCACCAGATCCGCTAGAATAGAAGAAGAATCTGCACATGGTCCATCTGCAAGTGAAATGAGTCCTCCCTGATCTAAAAAAAAATGGTGGATAAGTAAATAAACCTGAACGAAAAAATGCAGTTTATAAGAAATTTTGCGTGAATAACACTTCATAGCCAAAGTATTAAAAGGAATAAGAGAAAATTGGGCAAATTATTTTGTGAACGGAGCCGTCTGTCATGGACGGTCAGCATGGAACCATTAGGATGTTGCTTAGCAGCGCCTCTGACCTACACCAAGGGCCCAGCAAAATCCCTGAATCATTTAAACTCACAAGGCTGCATTTTCTCTCAGTTTGTTCATTTAACCAACCTGTGACGGTCCTGGCCATTTGAGACAATCCCGTGATAGTGTTGGCTTGATCCAGGCTTAGAGCTACAACGCTACTGAGTTTGTCGGTGACTCCACTATCCAAAACACTGGAATGTTTTCTGTACAATTCACTGCCAACAATGAAACACTTCTCTCCAATCCTCTGACTGAGTTTCTTCCAGCCCTCCCTGTCCTAAAGGTTTTGGTAAATTTTCAAGTAAGGAATCATGAGTTCACAACAAAACTGCTTCCAAACTGAAACGTCGGTTCGGAAAGATAAAAAAACCCCGAAAAGCGCAAAAGAAAAGCGAGCAGGAACAAGGATCAGTGGATGAAGAAGTTAAACCCTTTACACTCTAACATCAGTATGCATATTCCCCATACTGTTCTCTATACATTTCCTGTGGTACTTACAAGGAGAATTTGTTTAACAATCATGAGCTTCTTTCGTGATCATTTCGTTTATTCTCAAGTCCTCAATGCTTTAGGGGTGAAACTGTTGGGAGAAATTAGATGTTTATCGCTCATAGGGTTGAAGGATTAAGACGGATTACTAAGGAGCGACTTGAAAATTTAGGCTACCATTCTTTGGGAGATGCAAAAACACTGACATAACTCCTTAAAGCGAAGGTAAGTCTTAAACCCCAATTTACACGCATCAAAACACTGACCGGACTCCTGACACCATCAATGATAGCTATGATTCCAAGGTATCTCTCGTGAAGTTCACAGTACAGGTTGATCACATCGTCCAGACTCTTGAAGGCGTTTGCCATTATCTCATACTTTAGTTTTTCCTGCGAAAAAAATAGATTTTTCGATTCATGCCCATAGATTTCGCCGATAACAAATGAGCAACGCTGATAGGGTGTCACTTACTCGCTCACGACCGCGGGCAAACAACCACACTTGTAGCAACTTAAAGAGTCACGAACTCACAAACGTCTATTTATGCTAAGGAGTCACACAACAGAGCAATAAAAAACTCTACATGCAGCACCCACCTCAACCACAGTTAACCATAAACGCATACATGCACGCATTTGTTTAAGATGAAACCAAAACTGCGTTTACAACCTGGTTCATGACTTATTTGTCAGTGTTATTCACTGAATTACTAGGCTGGTACCCAATATACACCAAAGGTTAAACGTGTTTTAATGTGTTTCATAAACACGTTTATAAATCGTTTTCTCTGTAGAAGCTATTTAAAATGATGTTTGTCAACTTCAAATTTAGCAAATTCAACATACAAGTTAGAGACTACTTACAACTTATGGAAAGTTCACTTTTTCAGTTCTCCTTCTGTTTTTTCATTCAGTTAAACCTAGTCTAACTACAATTGTGTTGTTGGTTTGAATGGGGTATTAAATTGCCTCCACTGATTCAATCGTATAATTGAAAACGCTTTGCAATAAAGAGAAACTCGTTTATTCAACAACTCTGTAAGTAGTGATACTGATAAAACTTCTATCGCTACTAACAAGTTTTGAGTTCTTGTTTCCACGACGCCGCGGCTAGGATTAGAACAAACGATCGACACTAAATAAGTTGAACCCACAACTCTACCAAAAATTTAAAACAAATGACAACGATTTCAGAAAAAATATAGTATACTGCAGGATGTTGAAACAACATAATCATGATATAAGAACTCAGTGTTCAAGAAACAATAACCACAGTACTCTTCCTTTTCCCCCTCAGTTCAAATTCTCACCTGGTCATAAATTTCTGAGGCTGCGCAATTGAGTGCAATGTGAACATCGGTACCCAGGCTATAGCCGCATGAAGACACTGCGTCTTGAACAAAATCTAAAGCCTGCTCTGGCTTATCCATTGAAGGGGAATAGCTACCATCATCAGTAACACACCGACCAGAAGGCTGGAGAAAGATATACAAGAATTCGAATTCAAAGGTGACAAAAAAACGGGCTGGGAGGAAATAAAAAACAAGCAAAACTTACTCCGTATTTTTGAACAAGAGTCTCGCTCATCTGCTGATGGATGTTGGTCAGCTGGTGCAAGGCCTGATAGATAGATAGAATATAACGACAAGTTCTTAAATCCTCAACCTTAAAACTGTGTATTGCAATCCAGCTAAGTGGGTTGATTTGATTTTATTCCACCTTGGTTAACTAAACAATTTGCCTATGTTCGCTCCCTTTAAAGCCATGACAATGTTTTGGTTAAAACTCACCCCGTTTCACAGAGTGTTTCGTTGAATCGTTTTCCAACCATGAAGTCTTTGAGCGGTGGTAAAACGCTTAGTAATTTAAACCAAAAACTAAACTATCAAAAGTGGTTAGTTTTAAGCACAGTACCTTTTTCATGGGCGTTCCTGGTTGAGGTAAAATGAAAACTTCTTTGATAAGATTTTGCTTTCCCGCCGCCTGCTTTCCACTCGTCAATAATGTCATCATTGGAATAGGTACAGTAAAGTTATCATCAGTCTGCAAAAACAAAAATTTGCTGCATCAAAAACTGTGCTTTGTAAGAGTTAGTTACTGTATGGAGCATTTTAAATTGTGTCAAAAGTGATTCAGGATTGCATCAGAAAATTCGCGTCACTCTCTTGGCTAGTCAAATGCACAACTTTATATCACTTTCCTATATAACGCCCACGTTAAATAGGAGAGATGTCGAAAGCAACTTTTTAAAGAGTCTGGCTTTCTAGTTTAACAAGGATGCCCTTTTCGATCAGTAGTAAACCACTACCTCCTCACACTCAGAGTTCTCCCCTACTTTAAGCACGAAAGGTTACAGAAATCGGTAGAGTAATCTTTCTACTAGCTGGATTTTCAAGAATTCTAAGCGATTTTAGGCGGTAATAAGAGGCACTACAGGAGGTTAATTGTACCGGTTACGGCCTGAAAAGGAGAACGCTGCACACTGTTCTTGTTAAAGGGACCAAGAACCAAACTTCATCTCCCTTCTTCAAAATATTTTTCCAAGGTTCCCCTTTACTTGTCTTGAAAACCAACTCGTTAGTGAAGTAACTGGTTTTGCCCGCCCTCTCACACCAAGTAAAGCACGAGAAGTTATAGAATGCATATTTACCTCTTTTCCAACAAGTTTAGCAAGATGTTGGTACAAAGAGAGTCCTTTAATTTTTGCCCCGGTGACTACCGTCCCCATCGAAACACCAATTATAGCCGCATCTCTGCAGATCTCCTCTTCCTCCAAATCAGGCACCAGTTGTGCTTGTGACTCTTTAATGCCAGCTGTTCCTCTTTTGCTGTCTCCTTTCTTGCTAGTATCCTGTGAAGTTTGCGACTGTTTGCTCTCTCCTCTGGACATATTTGACTTCTTGTTTGAGTCCTCAGCTTTTTCAGGCTCCAGTTCTTCCTCAGTTTGATCTTTATCACAGTCATTGTTATTAATATGTAGTGACTGCCTTTCTTCTTCTAACATTTTCCTAAATTGAAAGCAGAGTACATTTCGATGTGTACGTGACTTGGTACAAACAAGAATTAGGTGAAGGGAGGGTGGGGTGAGGTGGGAAACTTTCATACTCAAAGTGACCCACCTACTGGGGGGCCGGGAAAAGGGGAGGGGATAATACTGATTTTCACAGAAGCAATACTGCTCAGACAAATTTTAATCCCCAATCACCTTTCAGCTTCAATTACCTAGATAGCCTTGCCTGACAAGAAAAAAGGAAGCTTCCTACTCCTCTTAATTGGTATTGCAAGCCTAGGAATGGTGTAAGGGGTAATCTGCTAATTTTAGATAACATGACAACACAGGGGAATCTCAGCCCTCAGAAACCATTGAAATACTGATGAAAACCATTTGGACAAGATGGAATTTTTTTACATGACCCCTCTTTTTGGGTGTATGTGGTGTATCAACTTTGCCTTTGAAACATCAAAAACAAGACAGGTTAGGCTAAAAAGGCTCTGTTTTACAAAGACCTTAAGGTAATCTATCCTAGATTTTATCACCAATCTAACTTTCATCCAAACACCATTTTGAATGATCTGTAGCTGATGGCCCTACTGTGGGATCTAACAAATACCATAAATTAACTTAGTTTAAAATCATAAAGCCTTTTCTACTATGATGTCATTAACAATACACTGCTGATTTATTTTTGCATCGTACTACAGAAATTCAAAAAGAAATGTGATGAATTTGTTTTGTTTGGTCAATATGGAAACCAGAGTCTACCCTAAGTCTAGAATTCTTTTCAGAAAAGTACATGTACCAACTGCATATTGTGTCTTCACTGCTGGGCCAAAAAGTACTAACTTGGAGCCCACACTGAACATGAACAATTTTTTTCTTTTCATAATTCAACAAAATCATGTAAACTCCCTTACTGTAGCATCTCATCTATCTTCATTTGATCAGTTGGGTCCAGTCCCACAATACGTGGTGCAATAGTATCAGTGATTCTCTCAATTGACTCTGCCACATCTAGTCCTGGGGCTGGACTAATGGATTCCCCTTCAGTGGTCATAACAGCAGTCTCTGCTCCCTTTTGCTGTTTGGATTGCTCAGTGACAGGTGTCTTGGTTTTCATGTCTGGGGTTTTGACCATCTTGGAGCTCAAAGAGTCTGCTGGGGGACTGGAATCAATAAGGGATACAACACTTGCTATGGGCTGAAAAGACATATAAATTTAGTTTATACTAAAACAGAGGATAATGTGAAAGGAGCTCCCTGATTGGTTACTCAAACTCTGAATTCCTTCATTATTCACCTCTGAAAAACTCACGCAGGATCTGTGCCCCAAAATGTTGTAACCATAGTGGGAATAAATGAATGTCTCACTATTTGTGTATACACTAAAAAAATTATTCACCTTGGTGTAATGGTGGCTAGCAGTCTATCCATCACTAGCCACCTCCACTTCAGTAAATAATTTTTAAATATAACTCTCGTCAAAAATATAATAAGGAGGGAAGCAAATTAAACACAGATGATGTCAATCATTCAATACACCAACACTGCACCTTTGAGAGTCCATTGACAGTGCAGTCAAAGCTAACTTCAAAGGTTGGGAATCCTCGGGTACTGAGGATTTCTACCGCTGAGACCTGTCAGCAATATAATGGAACAAATCAAATCAGCTGAACTAATCAGGATTAGTTTCTTTCTGTTAGGATGAGTACAATTTGTAAGCACTTTATTGTTATATTAAACAGTAATCACTATAACAAAAGTACCAATTAAAAAATCAGGATTAAAATCCCCATGCTTGTTTTGTGTTGTGGTTAAAATATTTCTTGATAAAACAATTTTTTCAAATCAGTTTGATTTTGACACTTTCATTGTCTTGTATTCATTATCATCGTATGAAAGAATAAAGAGTAGCAGTGAAGTGCGCCCACAAATCATAAATAATAAAAGCATGTTCATGTGCAGTTTTAAAGTACATACATCTAAGAAGTTAGAGCAAGTATGTCATTTCAGAAAAAAATATGAGTAAGCTAAACAAAGTGAAAACCTTGGAAAGGAAGGCAAGGATGAAGTTCCAGACCCAAATAAAAAATTTTATAAATAGGATGCACAAACACATAATGGAACTTCCAGTGGAAAGGAAAGTAGGTTTAAAATGAAAGCCATCAAAATAGGAATCCTTTTCTTTATGGCCAATATAGCACAGGCTGCCAAAGAATCCTGTGCACAAACTGCTACACTACCAACTGAAGGTTTAATATTTAAATTAAGACACTATACACAATAGAGAACAACATAAACTCACTTTTAATTACATAACATAATTGTGAAAAGGTATGGGAGCAAAATAATAATCACTGGTTCTACTACCATTGCAGTGTTAATATTAAAACACAAGCTATGTAAAATACCTTAGATACTGTTGGTGTTTTGGAACGTTTCCCAAAATATTCTCCCTGTAAACATCAAATGAAACTATCATTAATGACCTGATAGTCTATGACAGTGAATAAGACAGCATCTTAGTTACATGCCTGGAAATCAGAAAGTTACATAAACTGACTTTCACATATTCTCTTCATCAGTTTTATCCAAGTTTTTCACACCAGCTCTCTCAATGTAACTCTAAACATAAGTTATATCTTGAGGGAGCCTAAAATTACCTATTCCCTCCTGGCCCAGGCCAATGTATTTAAAATGAGTTTACATGGGTTAATTGCATTTTCATTTTCTGCAAAGAAAGTGGAATTCAGTACAGCACTTAAGTTTATTTATGGCACAAGTTATAAATCTGAGTACAAAAATCGAGGTTCCATAACTTACAGTACAGACCAAGAAAATAAGGTTGGTGAGATATTTATTATATCTCTGGGTTCAAATAGAGAAGAAAGATTTCAATTCAAACAAACTTTTGAATTTACATGCAGCCGGCCATACAGTGAAATACAGCTCTCTATATTGGCCAATAATATTATGTGCACTAACTGAGAGATATAATAAACCTTATGGCTGTTCAAGTTTGCACAAAAGATGACTCAGGTTCCAAAATTTTCACCAAATTAGAGAATTCTGCAATTTGTACAACATGATTTTGAGTGCAATTTGGTGCTAATAAGCACAAATAAATTTTTCAAAAACAAAAAAATTGCAGGAGCCCATAGGGCAACTGTGAAATTTGAAGAAAAATTATGTTATAATTCTTGTTAAAACTATGTACATGAAAAAACATCTGAGAAAGCCAAGACAGACAGAAATTTTGAAAGGATGTGAGCACTAATTGTAATTTGCAATTGTGTTACAACTTTGTACTTATGTTCAGCCAATCAGAAGTGCATAATTTTTGCATATTAGCATACATGCAAGCTGCCTCTGTGTCATGGAGGAGCGTGCAAGTGCTTTATCTTTAGCTACTGTTTTGCTTGCTTGAAATAATCAATAACACCAAAATGCGCTCTCGACCTTCGAAAAGTTCTAATAGCGTCTCGATCCTCGATTCTCGATTCTCGATTCTCAATAGTTTCAAGCATCGAGGATCGAGTTTTGAGTCGAGACTGTCAACTTACTTTTGAGCGGTAAATTACATCATTAGTAGCTGAATAATCTTCTGATCTCCAATGCCCAATGAATATGTTACCCAGATGGAGATGTAACTGTCTCAATATTTGACTGATACTTAAAAATCTTTAAGGTGGCAAGTAAAAAGGTGTGCTGCATTGTAGATGAATCTCTAAAATAATTTGCCAAAACGGGGCATGTGTGTTTTACAAGCCACCGTGGGAACAAAAAGAAATGCAGTGAACTCACAGTTTCTGTTGCTTGAATCAAATCTGTAACACTAAAACATTCCATGTTAACTGAGAGAGTGAGGGTCTATCAATTTTTTCGTCACTTTTATATGCGCTCATTAATCCCAAAACTAAACGTATATACTCGTAGAATGAATTAGTAAATAACGTGCAAGATTGTGGTCTCCGTAAGCTGACGCGATAAAAAAAAAAAAAGCACAGGAAAGAATATACGTACCATATATCCAAAAACATCATTGGATTTTTCCTTGAACATCTGATTCAAAAGATCCTCAATCTGTTTTGGCACTTCATTCTTGTTAAAAAAAGCCACAGCTTCCCGTTTTTCCTCCAGACTGTATGCACCGTTTTTAACCGCCATGTTGAATCACCAAGGCAACTTGAACAGTTTACCCCAGTCTCGTTTTCATGCAAAACAAATGCTAGTGCCAGACTCCTCGTTTGCAGAAAGAATCTTTAATCAGTGAAATGAATATTTGAAACAAGCTGTTTGATTTATTTCACATAAAAGTTAGACTCTTATCCTTTGATTAATATTCTCACATGCGACAATTTTTAACTTGGATTTAAAAATGTTAAGAAAGATTTCCAAATGCCTTTGCCGATCTATAACAGAGCACATAAAACATTGCAAAAATAACTAAAAAAAGCAATCGTGTTAATGATCTGTTTTGTAGTACCATTTTGGCTATTGTAATACCATCTTCTAGCTATCTTATCTCGGCAAGACACGATAGAAAATAACGGGATGCAAACTTAAGTAAATTCTGGGGAACAGCTCTCATTCTGCTCTTGTATAACCAATCATGATAAGCACGTCTACAACGAGTAAAAGTTATATTAGTTCTGAGTGAGTGACATTGAAAAGTGATAGATATGCTTGACTGAGAAAGAAAAATTAGGCGTAGAGTATAGAAAACAAACGTGCAGCTGAGTTGTAACGTCTAGAAATTTCTGTCAAGAAAGTAGTGGAACGCTATGCGTCTCTGAAATTTAGCAGCACTAAGGAAAACTCTGTAAATCTAAATTTTTAAGAAATTATCAACCTGAGCCAAAACACACTAGTAACTATTTATGTCTTCGCTTCTTTTAAAGGAGATGTCTAACAAGTATATGAAGTCCTCATGAGATCGTGCCTGACCATTTTTAGATCAAGATTTACAACTTGAAACATGATGAATTTGAATTAACAGAGCATTTAACTCATCTCATGGAAGCTGAGCCAAGCGTTTATAGACAACCACAAAAAATGATTAAAACGGCCGGATAGCAAACTGGTATCATCAAATGTTTTTCTACACGCCATTAGTTTCGTATACACTAAATTATATTGGCTCATCACAAACAGTTAGCGTGTGTATACATACAGATTGCAAATTTCCGTTAGACATCCGCAACTGTGTGATGAAACAACTCGGTTTTCGGCTCTGTTAGACTGATATGCCACATTAATGAAATCTTAAACAATGTTAGAGGGAAGAATATGTTGCAAGAGGATATAAAAATACAGTCTGATAGAAAGGAGAGAGCCACCCAGTCTGTTTTCAACTCTCTCCATCTTAAAAAAAGATAATCGAGCAAACCAATCGAGTAACTAAGACAGAATTTCTCCTTAAAATATCAATACAACGTTAAGTAGACAAGTAATAAGAATGAAGAAAAGAAAAGCACGCACGTGCATGTATACGGAAAAATATAGGATAACCCAACTTTGCTTTGCTTTGCTTCACTTCAAACGATTCACAGAAGTCCATGAAAATCTTAATTGATCTAAATACATCAAACTACTTCAATATAGCAGTCGATGACTTGAAGTTATTGTTCATGCATAAAAATTTTGACTTTTTCGAGACTTCCTTAAGATCCCATCGCAATCAGTAATAATTTCAAAAAATATTTTCTCTTCCAACAAAAAGTAGAGATTTACTTTATTACTCTAGCGTGTTGAACCAATTGACCGAGTCTTACAACGCTGTCACTTTTTTAGTTTCTTGGCACTACAGTTCAGCTCCCCTGGCGAGAACGATTGGATTCCTAGAATCCATTAAAAATGATAGTTCTTCGGAATCAAAGTAAAATCGCCAGTTTTCTCAAATGGAATACTGCAAGCCTTTGTGTTAGTTATCTTTTCCCGTTCTAAGCAAAATTAGAATAAGACAAAAGAATTCCGAGAAACGTTATCACATCGATTAACACTCGTCAAGTGAGTTTCTAGAATGCTAAGACACTGTTTTTGTCAAGTGTTGGTTTTTTTTATCGATGACAGCATGCAGTAAACTTCTAGCTATGGAAATGTGCGGTTAATGTACTTTGCCTTGAACAATATGATAATAGAGCCAGGGGTGGTTACACAGTGTGAGGAGCTTGGTTAATGTATATTTTGTTTGTCCATAATTGCATGATTCCTCTGAAAATCTGGTAGAAGCTCTCTTCTACTTAAATGACTTCGAGGCGTTCCATATCAAGCAGTGTGCATTACGTGCCACATGACCTTGTTATAGCGTGGAGGAAAACGGCGTTTTCATTTTCTTATCAACAATATGCAGTTTTGTAAACTGAGGAGAATGGTAGTCAACTTTGAGAAGATCAAGGTTTCTCAAATGTATGCCATACCTCTTGATGGTGAGTATGTAAAAGTTAAAACACTTCTGGTGTTTTCCTCTAGATTGATAATGGTATTTAAAGATCTGAAGATATAAATTTATTCTAGTTCTATCTATAAAGAGCCGTACCGGTGGAAAAGTTTCCCCATCTTGACAGAAGTGTGTCGTAGGTCTAACCAATTCTACCCCGTGTATTTGCCAGTGAAAGTCTTCTGGGAAATCAAAAAGCACTGGTTATAAAGTTGTGGTGGTTTTGGGAAATCAAGCTTGTTATAAAAACTAATATAAATTCAATTGTAAGTTAACCACAAAAGGTAATCAGCTTACATGTTCAGGTAAGACCAAGATTACATGAAATTTTCAATTCATCTTGGCTTGATCATTAGATATGACATTACTTTGAAGGCTAGCGCGATAGCTCTTGTATCATGGCGAACACCACAATTATGATTTCTACCTCAAAGTGCTGAATTTTGGTAAAGGTCAGTGATTGAGTGGTTGCTGAAGAGGTTGAATGAATTAGTGAATGGGGACTAGCTGTCAAACTGCTGACTAATGAAAAAAGAAAAATTCTACATGATTGGATGATGATACTGTCTATTTACCTGACTGACGGACGAACAGAAGGTATAACTGACTAGCAGCCAACCACAATTGGTAACTTCTAAGTGTAAGATTGTAACACTTTGATACAAATTTCTTCATTCCTCTTCATTTGATTTCTATACGTGATATATGTTGAATGCTAGCGCTACATATGGTGTCCTTGCAAACAATACGATTATCATGGCGGATTTCTGTCTCTGATTGGCTTAATACGAAACCAAATGCTGGACCATGTAATTGCATGAATGAGATGACTTGCCAAATGGATGGCTTTCAAACTGATAAAGAATGAAAAAGTTGCCAAACAATTGGATAATCTAAAGGCCAACTGTCTTATTCAGTACCTGACTGACAGACGAACAGATGGTTGAGAGTTTTCTTAAGCAGTCAACCACTGACATGACCCTACTGACTGGTATTCTATGTTTGTCTGCCTGGCTGACAGAAAGATTAACTGAAGAACACATGGATTGACTTATTTCAAGCTAACCAATTAATTAACAAACAGGTTAATCAAAAACTAATCAACGACCCGGGTGATTAAAAAGCTAACTTTACTCTCTGAGTTTCTACTTTATTACCTTAGTAATCTACCTACTGACTGATCAATTAACAAGCTAGACAATATTTTGATCAAAAGCTATCTAACCATCTGGAACGTTTATTGTTTGAATGATTAAACCACTGAATGTCCATAGGATAACCTGACAGACCGGTCGACTGTTCAGCAGACAGACTGCCTGACAGACTGACTGAATGACAGACAGGCAGACAGACAGCAGACGGACAGACAAACTGACTGACTGACTGACTGACTGACAGACAGACTGAATGACTGACAGACAAACAGACAGACCGACTGAATGACAAACAGACAGACTGACTGAACGACCAACTGACTGGCTGGCTGACTGACACACTGACACACTAACTCACTGACTCACTGACTCGCTGACTCACTGACCGACTGGCTGACCGACTGACTGACTTAATGACATACAGGCTGATTGACTGACCGAACGACTGGCTCACGCGTTGGCTGACTCAGTTACTATGCAACGTACAGAATAAATGACAAATTTAATAAACAACTTCCTGACTGAATGACTGACGGGCTAAATGAATGAAAGAATGAATTGAATAAATGAGTAAGTGATTAAAAGAGTGAATGAAAGAAACAAGATAGATGGATACGTGGAAGGGAAAAAAAGGAATGGATTGATGAATGAAATAAAAAATTATTTTGATCTAAATAATCAATAACTTGGATTCACTTTAAGTTTGAACTTTACCTCTTGTTGACGTAAGCTCATCATACTATTTCTTCTTTTGCAAAATATGAATCTACAACTACTTATAACCCTACTTGAACAGTTAGTACACGATGAACAAAAAGGTGAGTAAGTTAATGAATAAGAAAAAACGGAAAAAAACATTGGCAGCAGCTAACTAACGATTTGATTTAATTGAATCACTACCTGTGACTGACTATCAAACCTGCTTGGTCATAAGCCATTTAATCACTTACTAAACTCACCAAACGACTGATTTTATCAACTCAAAAAGCGTAGCACCGATCGAGTGAAACCTTAATTTCATTTTTTGTCATTTTGTCTTCGAATTAAATCGTAAATGAAACTAATTTAGAAAGAGACATTAATTCGTGTACGATATGGTAGATGTTGGTACTTTGTAAGTTAAATCCGTTGAGCCATTCTGAGATGCATCTCTCAATCCTGAAAATTTTTTTACCTCCCAACAGCTGATTGTTTTTCGTTGCTTGCCAGTCTCTTTATCCTCATTTCAGATGGTTTGCTTTATATTTTTTAATAAATTAGTTTATTGTTTATGTTTGCTAGCTTCTACTTTATAGACTTGCATTGCCTCTGCACAGACAATCATTGAAATTTCCATTTTGATCTTACATAGCGAATCAATTACAGACAACAAAGGACTTTTTCTGTCAGATTTTCATCCAATTCAAGAAGTTGACCTAGGAGACGTCCTTGAATTTTTTTTAATTCTCTGAGTTGTTTAAAAAACAGAAATCTCTGTGTAGCTCGTAAAAGTCATTCAAATGTACTTAACTGTCAACAGCTTGATCTTTTTAAGTAGAGCCTCTTACAAGCAGGTCTGGAAACTCCTTGCAGTGTTTGAAATCGTTATATAAGATGTTCTTCAAACAAAGCGGAGGTTTTGCTCTACAAAAGGGCAAACAAAATATGACAAATGTGTAGAAATTCACGAGTTATTTTCTCGTTGTGTTAAATGGAGCGTTCCTTCTAGGAAAACCATCCATGCTTGTACGCATGCGTAAGGCTAGAAGAAAGCTGCATGTATTGTGAATAAATATCGTTTAAACGACTTACTTACAAGTTCCCTTCATTTGAAGGAATTGCTTTTACTTAGTTTGAAGTGATTTTTTTCGATAAAAAAACGAGCGTCGAAACATTAAGAGTGGAATTAACATTTTCTCTGACGCGTGTTAAACGGTGCATGAATTCCTAGAAACTTGTATGCTTCAGCGCTTTCTTTCAAAGTTAAAGCTTTTTTTTTAGATTTGTATTTTCTCGCGATATTTCATCAGAATTCTGTTTAACAAATTTGAGATGAGTAATGTGATATTATGGTGCAGTAGAAGTTAAATGAGAAAATTAAAGTTTTAAGACTGATTTGCCAAGCATTGAGGATGACGAGTTTGCAATATATGATAAACTCTTGTAGGATAATAGTGGATTCAAATTTCACAGAATGTCCTTTTGCTTTCTTTTTAAATATCCATGAACTTAAAATTGCGTTCTCGTGATCGTTTGGTATTGAGTAAAGAATTGTTAAAATATATAAAAACTTAACTTGAAATTCAAACCGTCCTAAATAATTCAGGCTTAATAATGGACAAGTTCAAGTGTTTCGAGAATTCTGTCCAATCTGTTCAAGTTAAAGTGCTAATCAATACTGTTTAATCAAATTTACAGCTATTTAGAATAAACCAGAAAACTAACTCATATGTATTGAATAATACTTTTCTTTAGATAGGATGGCGAAAAAGATTGCTCCGCATTTCACTTTGATAAAATGCCTTTACAGTGCTATAATTGAACTGCTGCACAAAGGCGACACAATGCCTACTGAAGGGAATTGTGCTCGATAACTGTGAAATTAGGGAATCTTAATCAGGGTTTTTTCAAGTTTCTTTTTTTGTTTTACGAGAGTTTTGCCGTTTCATCATTTGATGACAATACTCAAACATTTCCCTCCGTTGAAGGGTGGAAAAATGATGTCTTACCTGACGAGATGAAAATGTATCGTCCAGAGAAAAGCAGAAGCTGGTCATGTCTTTGATCGAAAATCTTGAGTTGAGTATCAGTTGAATAAGGCACTCTCTCTATCGTAAAGCTCTTGATGACGTCACCACATCCTTGTAAAAAGCGACTTACCTTGATCATTTAACAGGAAGACTTCTGATCTCACACTCGAAGAAGTGCACATAGCTCAAAATTTCCCATGACTGAAACTGTTTATTATTTAGAATTCGTCTTTAATGTTACTTCCGAATCTTGGGTGTACAATCTAGTGCAACGAGGCGTTAATTCCAAGAAATTCTCACGCTTCAATTCCTTTGAAATGCACACAATAGGATATTCGCTTTCCATCGTTCCCGGGGGAAAGCTTTCGCATCTTGAATTGAAAAAGTGAAAAAAAAACAAGAGATGCCATTAAGATTAGTCAAAAGGTAAGAAAAGTTGTGGGAAAAGTGCAGATGATAATGATGAAATATTGCAGGACTCTACATTAAAGCCTGTTGTCATAGTAACAGAAGTTGTCAGCCAGAGAGCGAAGCAGACTAAATATTTATTTGACGACCTTTACTTATTGTTCAAAGTTGTTATCCACCCACGCTTTAGATAACAAGCAGCTTTATCAGCAAGTTAGAAAGTGCAACAATCACCATGTTTAAAATTACTGCCTTAATTAGAATGTTTGTAAACTGTGACTCTCAAGTGATTAGCCCGGCTAAACCGGATTTTCATATCCGGTGTAACCGGCTTGTGTCGCCAAGTCACGTCCTCCTTTCTTGCGGATACCTTTGGCTGTGGACTGACTTCCCTTCTCTTATCTACGAGTTTTGTGTGTCACACGTTTAAAATGGAATTTAACAATAGCTTGAATTCTCCACCCGATCGAAATCTTATTTGTAAATAGCAACTTCGACGACAGTAAGAAATTTACTTTGAATGAGAAAATTTAAAAAGGATTTAGAACCATCAGCATCGTTCTCATTTTAATCCACAACCTACACTAAACAGATGTTTAAAGTACAGCCATTTAATGGGCGCAAATCACCCATCTTTAGGCTTCTTCAGCTTAAATTAGTAGTTTATGTATATGTGCTGAGGCAGCTAAAATATAATAATGCAATCCATCCTCTTACAAATTTAGTAATTGGATACGGGGTAGCACCTGGCTTATCAAAGACTTCATTGTACCCAGGAAATTCGATCATGTTGCTTATTTACAGCGGGGGCTCAAGGTGTATTTTGCAGGGGCACTGCCCTTGCAAAAGCGTATTCACAAGAATGTCGCGATTTCTATTTTGACCAGTTCTTAACAAGTCTCGCACATCATTAAGTAATTTTATTTTTAAATCCGAATGGTGTCTGAACTAACGTTTAATGGTTTCGTTACGTGCATGTGTTAGAGTTTTTGGTTGAGCTTTTAGGCTCCTCTCCAGGAAGTCTGGAGGTTTTCTTGTATGCATGGCTGAACTATCAAACTGTACGCTAATTTTAATCGTGATTAAGATATACTGGAAATTAGGGGTTTCGAGTATGAGAATGAATAACAATGGAGTTGAAAATAATTGCACGTTTAAACTGCTTGTAACGTTCTGCTATTAAAAAGTAGAGAGCTAAGTAAAAGTAACTGAAAAGGGAAATAAAAGTCATGGAATTCATATTTTCTTATTTTTAGCAGATATCGCGCAAGAAATTGCGAAATTTCCGTCACTGCTGTTTAGTTATTTTTAATCAAGGTGTGTTCATAAACTGCTGAATTGTCGCTAGAAGTGGAGAATCATGATTGTCGGAGTAGTTTCGAGTCTTTTTCTTGCGTAACAAGGAATTTCATCTTTTCATTATAGATATGAAAGCTTTCTGCACGATTCTAGACAAGAAATACGATTTGCAATCTATAAAACTTTTCTAAAGAATGCACATTCCTTTTTTTTTCGGGGCTAAATTGTATCTATGACTGATTGGGTGCGATGACAGTGTAAGAAAATCGCTGGAAAATCCATAGGTGTTATCATGTCAGGGACTGATAACTTCCTGGTTATATGACTACGGTCAAATTGAATCGTGCTATCAAAACCGAAACCCCTTTGTTTAGTTTCCAGTAATCTCCACTTCTTCCACCTTATTCGCTTGGTTGGATTTATGGGCACGGATTTGAAAACATTGGAAACAGGAAATTGAGCAGTTCTTACTTCCCCACGTAGCTTTAATCAGGAAGAGAGTCTAACGACAATGTTTAAAGCATCCTTTTAGTGGAGTATGACGGAATGTAATACCTTACGATAAAATTACCTGTCGGGTACATGGAGGAGGAAAGAGGCCGGAGAACATCCGCCCTCAACATGTATAAAAGAGGCAAGGTTCTACTCTTGTTCAGTTATCTTGGTGAACATCACTTATTACACTTCAAAATACAAGCTTGTGATTTCAAAAGAGTTACGTTACACAGAATAATCAAGGATCAAAGATGATTATGGGTAAGTGATTTAATCTGTTAACACAACACCGTCTCTCTCTCACCTGTAGTGCTTTATTGGGGATACATAGTTGCTCATATTCATATAAGTTAATGGTTTGTACCAAGTTCTGTACACTGTCGTCGAATTTATGCCACTGAAGGAAGATGCGCAAATGAAATTATGAAGGAACCACCGCTCAGTTCATGAATCAGAAGAAATACCTCTCTAAACTTTGGGTACACTGCTCAAAGATCAATTAAAATAAATTCTTAGGGAATGAGGTTTTAAGGGGAACTAACTTTTTTTTTTCTTCATAATCAAAAATTTGCTATTGTTCTGATAAATGAAATTTTGCCGCCATCAAAAGTAAAACGTTCTGTGACTGGTCGAATTTCTCCAAAAAAAATCCCTTTCAATGATCATTCCGCTATCTTCTAGTTCTCTTTATTCCAATACGAAAAAGTTAAATATTTATGAAAATCGTTTTATACAGCGCTTATATGAACACCGACGAGGTAGTTCTCGCGCTCCTATTGGATCTCACAAATTTCTATAAGCGTTACACGTTCGAAATAGTAGAGTAATTTCAGTAATAATGAAACTGAATTTATCTGAAATATCGTTTTATTTAGATGTTGCACATATCGGGCCCTGAATGAATATTCTCAAGATATACCGAATGAAGAATGAATTTACCAATTCAGAAGTTTTTAGTACTAGAAACTTTGTAGTAAAATCATAGCTTTGGATAATTCAGTCAACCATGAGATGGAGAATCGAATTGGCTAAAGAAATGAAATTTTGTAACAAAGATGATTTGAAAACTTATTCATTATCTTATCAACGTTAATTATTTAGTTCTAATAATAGGGTATATCATTACGACATTTGAGTGAAGCTTATAAAATTTTTGATTTAAAGCCATTCTAAGGAATTATATTAGTTGCAGTTGTTTATACAATTGATAATAATAAGCAAAGCTTAATTAACCAAACTTCAATTGACTTACATACACTCCTTTGGAAACGAAAAGAAAGGCCATTTCACAGCTGAGTTGCTTTGCGGAAAACTCGCGCCAAACGTTTCAAAAGAAAAGATTAGACATTTTGCGTCGAAAGCGCTTTGATTTCCTGTGTCAACGACGACAAACCGTTGTCATTGACGTCAACAATCATGTTGCAGTTTCTGTTGCCAGTAAGTGTTCATTAATCGCCCCAGGGCACTAAAGCAACGTGGTAATTAGTAATCGGTTCTTATGAGATTTCATAATTATATTTTGATCTCTCGGTGTTTAACATAGTGTAATAGAGTATTGAAGAGGGTTTGAAGATAAAGAGGTAATTGTAGATGGGGCATAACATAACAGAACATTTCAAAGGATATTACTATCGTGACTAAAACCACTTTTCAAATTAGATAGGCCAAATGAACGAACACTTTGACTGATAGGAATGAATACTGTATGAAATTTGGTCACTGTGCTAAAGCAATTTTATCAAACAAAATAGTGTCAGAAACTATTTCATGTGCAAAAAGTAAGAAAAATTTTTAAAATCATTTTTGTTTACAATTATTTTTCGCGTGCGAGGTATTGTATGGAACGAATTATTTTCACGATGTCACGGTTTCGTTTAATTTTCATTAAGTTTTACAATATTCCAAGTTTGAATATTTCACTGAACAAAAATTTCACCAAACAAAAGGTATTGACTGACAATTGGCTGCTGCGCTAAATCGATTTTATGACAAAAACAGTGCGTCAAAAGTTATTCTATGTAAAATATTACTGGAATCTAACTATTTTTGTTCATAAATATTTTTCAAGTGTGACGTAATTAATGAATCGAATTATTTCACAATGTCAAAATTTCGCTTAATTTTCATGAAACTTTAATTAGTTTCTGGCAGAAGGCACACTACTTCTTGGCCTTAAATGACCAAGGTGTACTGGGATGACCTGAACAGAGCAAAATGATTTCATTCAGTCAAGTTGAGATTCGGCCTTCGTAAACCCTCCTTTGTAAAACAGATAAACTTCTATTTTTGGTTGAGGACAATAAAGGCGGAACGTCATCAAACTCCAGATGGATGAATAAGCTATTGCGGAAAATTCAAAGGTTTTACGGTTTCAATACTGTGTAATCAGGATTAAAATGAAACCAATAAAAGCTACGCAAAGAGAGGCGAGAAAGCTTACAATCGCCCCTAAATTAGCAATTATTTCGATCTTCTCGCCAGCGGCTTTCTTGACTATTTAACCTTAAAGATCTGATTGTTAATTCTCCTCTTTAACTGTTACACATTTCCTTGTAAATAGGTACAAGAATTTGGTGTTAGATCAACATAGAAACTTGTACCCGTCAAGGGTTAGTTTTATCAACAAAACTGAAACAAAAATAGTAACTGTTGTTAACAGTTGTGGTGGTTCTTTTCAATTTATTTTCTGTTTTATCTTTTTAACCAGATAAAGCTTTCTTCCTTTGTGCCACTATCTTTGTGATCAGTTTTGCCTTTGGTAATGGGAGATCAATTCGTGATCCAGTTTTTCACTGCCTTTTTGAAACCTCAGATGCCGCAGAGACATGTTACGTAAGTACAGTTTTCAAAAAGCTTGTTCATCGCAACTAACTCTTAACTCCCAAGATTTAATTGTCAATTCTCCCCTCTCGCTGCCGCTCACTTAATCAGTTATGAGATTTGGTTTTAGATCAAGATAAAAACCTGTACCCGTTGAGACTGAGTATCTTCACTCCATGTTTGCTAGATAATGTATGGATATTATAGGGAGGAACTACATGTTAATCACTTTTGGAGGTTAAGGGTTAAAGTGATCTTGTCTTCATAAAGTCATCTGCAATGGAGGGCGGTTTTAATAACTTGCAATTGTTTATGAAGGAAACAAAACAAAAAGCTCCCTTTCAGGGGTGAGGCATTTCGTTTGTCCCACATCTTGTTTGCAATTTCAGTTGGAGGATTCCCGTCACAGAAAATTCAAACCTTTTCTCCCATTCGACACGTGCACTATTTGTTCTAGTTTTTAGCCTACAATTTTCATTCTCAAGATCTTAAAAAGAGTGCTGTCAGTGCATTTTCGAATCGCTTTTTCAAGATATATGAACAAAATGATATCAATCACTTCAGGCACGTATTCACTAACAGAACTATTTATGTATTGCTGTTTTCGTTTTTGTTTTTGTCTGATCGATGGATACAGAGAGCAGCCCATAACCCCGCTGGTCTCCAGCGTGGAAGAAGTCTTGGATTGGCTATGAAGAGTCTTCTTCCGACAGATATCGACAACTGGCCTAGCATGGTGGGTACTAAAACAATTCATTATATCGCAAGGTAGTCTTGAGGTAAACTCAATAATTAATTCTGCCATAATTGTGGTAACTTACCCACTAGCTCGAACCGTAGTAGGGAATATTGGTCCTCAGTCGTTTTTGCACGAATCTCGAGCGGTCAGATTGTACTGTCGCGACATCGGACCAATACCCCCCAATATAGCCCTCATGCTCGGTTAATAAGAGGTTAGGAGTTAATTTTCGCAGGCTTAAATATGTTTTGGGCCCGACTCAGAGTCACTGTAGCTTGAGTTTGGCGAGGGTTGAAATGAGCTCACTACTCTTATGGTTCCACGACTTTTGTCGTGAGAGACCATATTTTTACCAACCAATCACGTTTATCAAAAAGTAGCCTGTGAATTTAACTGATCAACAGAATAACAGCCAGAAGGCACAAAAGTGTTTGACATCGTTGAAGAATTTTATGGCGCCACTCGAGGTTGTCATGGCAAGCCTTAAACGGCCGCACTTTAACTGCAAGTCATCGGGAAACACGTTGAACAAGACAGTCCATGGATTACATCAACTCCTGGAGACAGCTATTAAGGACATTAACATATATGTAAGTTTGGTTAAAATTGTTCTTGTGTATTTTCTGTAAATACACATGAGTACGTTTACTTCAGAACCTTTTTTCATATGCAAAACTGAAAATGTTTAAGTATAACACTTTTGACGCGAAAAGTGGCGGAGACTTTTGAGTCATGCTTCGCTTACACATTTTACAGTGGCTTTTATGGGATTATAAACACTAAATTTATTAGATTTCACGACTAGGTCATACTGGGAAAAGATAGATCCGCTACTTCGCTCTGGTTAATACTTTTAACAAGTCTGAGGAGTCCATCACATTAAGTATTTTAACTAAAACCGATATACATGTTCTGAAAATGACTGTCAAGGTTTCTTTTCAAAATCTGTCTTCAGGCCCGTCGTCAAAGTATTTCCCTGAAACCATTTAAACTGACATCTGTGGACATGACAAGAATGACAGCACTAGCCAAGAGGCAACTGAAACTGTCGGTAAGAATTTGATACAGCGATATGATTGGTGGAATTAAACCAGCGTAAAGTTTCCTCAGCTCCTCTGACACTTAAACCCCTGACAGTGACTAGCATCTAGTCAAACATTATGGTCACAAGAATGAAGGAAATCATTACAAACTAAAGCTTTGAATTGTCAAACAAATTCTCCATATCAGCACCTTAGGAAGTTCAAAAAGAACAGTGTGGAGAGTGTCAATTCCAGAGTTAAGGTGGAAAGAGATAATCATGATCTGAAACTCTCTTTAATCAAAATTAATGTGACTGGGGATATTTAAGTGTTTTCTGAAAAGTCAAACGCCTTCCTGCGGTAAACTGAAATTTTCACAGGGCGAAAGGATGAGTGAATAATAAAATACAAATAAGAAAAAAACTCCGAAGCTATCAAAGCTTTTTTAAGTTGTTCGCAGAAATTAACAAACAACAATTAATGGTTTATCGACGAATTAGCCAATTTTTTCTTTCGTTCATTTCTTTCAGGGATTGTCGGCAAGTCGAGCAGTGGTAGTTCGAAATTATGTCTTCTTGGATTACCTAAACGAAGTTGTTTCCGACATAAAACTCACTCCAAGATCCTGCTTTAATACCAAAGTTCAGCTTAGTCAGATTTGCCCAGTGTGAGATCAGTTGACGGTGACCTGGAAAGATCAAGTTTTTAATCGCTAGAAAACGACATTATGGATAAAAACAAACGCTTGCTCGAATTTGATTTATTTGAAATTTGCAACTTTCTATTTTAATATATACTTGGAGTAGGTCTATTTTTTCAAGGATATGAAGAGGTTCATTCGAACAGCTTCTCATATAGACTATTCACATTGAATACAAAACTTATTGTTCTGTAAGAATATTCATGGTAAACTATTTTGGTTGGAACATATGGTTATAGGGAGATGTTTATTCAAACAGATATATCATACTATTTATTCATTTTTATACTCACTGAAATAAATGCATTTGCTTGGCAACAGAGATGTGTGGTTCTTGCGTTCTTTATGTATGCAAATAGAGCACAACTGCCAGTCAGAAGAAAGGGAAACACCTTTAAGAGCCATTGGGACCTCAAAGTAAAAGCAACCAAAATGCCAACGCGGGAAAACGGGAGCGACCAAGTCGTGACTGGATTTATATTTTCATCTAATTGGTTGAGATGGTGGCACGAGTTTTTTGGACCAATCACAGAGCGAAGTAAACCAAAATAAATGCAATCCCCGATTAGCTTGGAGACTCAATTGGAAAAAATTACTCGATAGGAGACTTAACTAGAATAAGTAGAGTAACTGTAAACAATGCATCACTAACTGACCTCATCTTTATAAACAACAGCCATCGTGCCGTCAATAAAGGGATGATTCATTTACCTCTGCATCACCCAAACGGGTGTTGCAAAGGTCGCGAATTATCGAATACCGCTCATATAAATACTTTGATAAAGCCTTGCAGCTTTCGACTTTAACCTTCCAAGTTTTGAAATACAGGAAACTAAATCTAATCTACTTTTCAAAAAGAACTTGGAACGCATGCCTTAATTGTATTATATTTTCACTTATCTATATCGTATTTTTTATGTTTGAATAGCTTTATTCTGTACAGCTTATCACATTTTTACTACATAAATCATAATATTCTCCACAGGGCCGTACTGAAAACCACTTACTGTGTGATCGCCCCCTGTATAAATATTATTATCATTGCTATTATTATCATTATTATTATTATCATTATTATTATTGTTATTATTATTATCATTATTATTATTACTATACCTGCGCGGAGTTTGGCCGACATATATACAATAATTTCCGAACACTGAGTTACAATCATAAAAATATAGTCTATTGAATACCACGAGAAGCCAAAACCAAATTCCAAAAGACAACAGTAAGCAAAATTGAGTGTTCAGCAAGACTAAAAACAGTCGACATTATTTTAAGCCGTCCTTGCACCAACAGAGCGTTTTAACCTCGTGTGAAAAACACCCATTTGCGGAAGAAACAAACGGCAGGGCTACAGAGATGTTTCTTCGCCTCATCACGAGCGTGGGACAAAATAGAACTCCCATTAGGAATAGAACCTCAGGCCGTCAGATTCTGCGCTACGATGCTCTACCATTTACCCCCTACAATCAAAAATCAGTAAGCATATTCCCTTTGCTGATTTCTATACATTTCCTACAGTGATTAAAAGAAGACGATGTTTAACAAGCAAAAGCTTCTATAATTGGGGAACATTTCTTTCATTCCCATGACCTTAATGTTTGATTCAGGAGTGATATTGTAGGAAGAAATTAGATACTCTTGGGGTTACAAGATTAATAGGAGGTGTTCACCCAAGTCACTGCTTGGCACCACCATTACGGTCGATTTTTGTTTCGCACATGTTGAAGTAACGTTAACACGATTTATTTCCGATTGGATCTATTCGTTAGTTTAATCGAGCCGATCTTAATTGCCGTAGTTTATTTCCAAATATAAATCGCCCGCCATGGGCAATCAGCTGCATAAAAAAGAGCGCACACCACTGTGGCAAGTTCGACTTCTTTTTCAGGATAAACTTGCTGTGTATGGGTTCAGGATTTGGATTTCAAACCTTTCAACACCCGATTAATTCTTTGTGGAAACGTTACTCAACACGAATCTTCACTAACTAAGAATGAATTAAGTCCTTGGTCTTCACAGTGCAGTTGAAGAAATCTACGAACCTTTTTAAAGAACAGTAACTTTTATTCTCAAATAGGATCTTACTTCTTCATTTTTATCGATTCCCGATGATCGCTTTTTTTTTTCATTACTTACAAAATTAATATTTCACCGAAGAAGCATACATGCAGGGCAACAAGAACATATCTACAGAAGTTTTTCTCTGTTCACAAACATTCTACTTGTACATTATTGTCTAGTGCACGAATGAAATGAGACTTTTTACAATTAAATTCCGAAAAATTTCAAAAAAAATTTAAAATATCTTTTGAAAAGAAACAAAAAAAAAAGCAGATTACGCTTAGTAAAGTATTCATTTCAAATATAATTTTCCACTTTTATCTTCTACTTCAAATTTTCCTGTTTTTAAACAAAACAATGGAATTTACTTGCTTCCCTCAAACATTTCCCAGTTTTTGGTTTAGTTCAACATTGTTTTAATCGTCGAGCAAGACGAGTATACTCTAATTCACTTGCTCACATTGAATATAAAAATCCATTTCCCACTAAATATTGTAGAGAGAGTTTTACCAGTGTTATCTAAAATATTTCCAACGGTTGGAAAAATAAACAACAGAGCTTAACTTTTCATCCAAAACAATGATCCTGTGAAAGTTTGGTGAAAGGTTTCTAAATCGAAATCACGAACACTCTTGGGCAACAACGATAAAAAGGCGAGCTCTTTCTCTTTTTTGGTAGTTAACATGCTGTTAACTTTGTCACAAAATAATCGCTTGTGCGAGCTCGTAACTTCTCCAGAATCCCACTACCCACCCACTGAGTAGTTTAGACCCTGATTTTTTGTCTCCCAAGAAATGGTATCGTTGAGTCTGGTCAGGAATTTGCATAAGAAATTATGACATGGAACAATTTGGGTCAGGAACCAATAAGGCGAAGGATTGCGTATTGATTGCTTTGACTTATAGAGAAACTTTTAAGTTATTCCATAAATAACCGACGTTAAACGTCAAACGCTAATACGAAAGATACTTTTGATACTACATTGATATCTCAGTCGCTAGTAACATCACTGGTAACGCAGTGTAACACCATCTTGCTAAACGACGTGACACAACTAAAAGAAGCCTATAATCTTGACATCGACGCCTCGACGATGGCAGCGAAAGACGACTGTACCCACATGAACGCATTCAAGGACCGGAAGCAACCCTTTCGATTCACGTAAGATGGTTCATTTTATGGACGAGCCCAGTCACAAATAAAGGACAAGGAATGGGTCAAAACTTGAACCAACCGCATAAAATGTTCTTGTTTAGACCTCAGTCTGCTGAGAAGGCCTCCTTTGAGGAGTCTTTTTTTCTTGTTGTCTTCTGTGAATTAAGACAGAGGGATCTACCTGTCTTGACGGCGCATCAGTTTCCATGGTAACACTATTTCCCAGTTTTTCTGACGCGCACTTGTCACTGGATTCTTCACGTGCGGCTTTCGAATCATTCACCTCGAAGGCATCGTCACTTGCTTGATCCAAGTCTTCGTCCAAAAGCCCAATATTTTCCTCTTTGCTATCATCCTCGTTTTCTCCTGTGCCACGAAATTGTTTGCTCAGCTGAGAGGAAAGCGATACAATGCTACCATTAAGCTGGTCTAGTTTCCTTTTTGCAAAAAGAGACGATGAGTGAGACGCCAATGAGGTTTTGCTTCCACCGGTGGCTAAAAAGGGTTCACTGTCAAGGTTATGACGTATATCTGCGTATCCATCACTGTCAGGCGTGTGTTCTTCATCGTGAACGTCATCTTGGTATCCTTCCCCGTCATCACAATTCAAACTGTTGCTACTTTTAGACACGTGCTCTGAACTTCCGAAAACGTTGTCTTCTTCGGAAGACGAAGGGGTTTTGGGAGTCAATGGACTCACAAGTGGCGGTTGAAGGTCAAGATATTCCTATGGGGGAGCAAGGCAATTTTTAAGACAAGACATTCGTTTTGGAGTTTTGTTTGATACTTAAGCCGACAATGTCAGGAATATGTCTTATTGACCAAGGGACTCAAAAGGCTAGACGGTGCCTAGTCACGAATTGGGCCGGCCAGTTTCGAGTATGTTGGTTACTGTGTTGCTTTGACGGAAAAACACTTCGTATTCAAAGAGCTTTAACTCTTGCAGCATGATAAATGGATGGAAGCGAATCGTGACCAATACTTAAGTGGATTTTCCGCGTTACTAATCAATTCAAAGAGTAGTGTGGATTAAAATCGTTGGCCCCCTGATGAACTGAAAAAAGAGTTGGCTAGACGGATAAACCTACTATGCTTGGAGAAAGACTTAAGCCCTTAACCAAAATAACATGATCACCAGCTCGATCACACGCATGGCGATCATTTATGTGGCATGTTTTAATTTAACCAGTACGCATTCAAGTCTCTCACAAGATGGTAAAACTGGCTTTTTTCCTTGAAACAGTGAACAGGGCATTGTAAGAAACGAGATTATAATCCGAATTTCTTTAAAATTGTATTGTAATTGCATGGGCACAGGTGAGTGGGGGAGAAGAGGGGGGGACATTTCTTCAGAGTACTATTTCTGCGTCAGGTATTAATGCAATCTACCTTGTCTGACAGCATCGATATCATCTGATCGAATTCGTGGACAAGTTCCGGAAACGTCGGTCTTTTATCAGCAAATTCATTCCAACAATTTAGCATAAGCTGATACCTAAGGAGAAGAAAATATAACGAGAAAGTGAGTTGATCTGTGTTGACAAAGATAAGTTTGCAATAAAAACGATAATGAAGTTTTTCTGAACTCAATTTTTACTCGCACCACTAGACCCAGCAGAATAAAAGATTACATACGATACTAACTGTACTTACATTACTATTTTACACTTGAAAAACTCATATTAAATCCAGTAATGAAATTACGTGGAGCATGTTAACTTAATAACAATGCACGGGTAACACTCGCAAAAAACACTACTTCACAGGCACTATCAAACACACAATACGTCATAAATTACCTATATGCGTATGTGAGTGCAACAACAACAACAAATAAATATATGACAAAACAGAATAATAAAAAAAAATACATACATAAATAACGGAGGGGTTAATACACGTAATCATTTTAAGAGTCAATCCGGTAAATTCTTCTAAAATTTTGTTCTCCATTTAGCCTTCCCAACTTTGCCTGACGTTACAATTTACCTAAAAAGAGCCTTAGAAACATTATCATGTGATTAAATTCGAACCTCTTCTTAGAGGAACTGAAGCAGTGACAAGACATAACTAGCGCTTCTGAAGAAGGAGGTCAATCTCACTTACAGTTCCCTGTCGCAATTGATGGGACGTTTCATCCTGTAACCTGACTTGAGCAGTCCATAAAGATTTTCCACGGGAATACCAGGATATGGAGAGCCCCCTTAAACAAGTTGATAAGAAAGAATAACAGAACTGGAATGAGTGATCAACCAAAGGTGATTGGCTAGCGGTGTGTAAAGAAGTTATGAATATCCTGAAATCTAAGTTGACGTGGCCATCAGTGGGCATCAAAAAGATCATCTAAACATAAGCAACGCGTATATGGCAAATGAATGATAAAGGATTTCATTCTATTCCTTTAAACGTCACATCATTACTTCACTTAAACAAATGTTGAATTAAGCCATACACGTTCATCATCATCATCATCCTCATCAACACTGTCACTGTCATTGTGATTGTCAATGTCATTATCACCATCATTGTCCATGTTGTCGTCACCATCATTGTCAATGTCATTGTCATCATCATTGCCAATGTTATTGTCAGTGTCAACGTCATTGTCACCATCATTGTCAATGTTATTTCAGTGTCATTGTCACCATCACTGTCAATGTTATTGTGAGTGTCAATGTCATTGCCACCATCTTTGTCAATGTTATCGTCAGTGTCGATGTCATTGTCACCATCACAGTCAATGTCATTGTCACCATCATTGTCAATGTTATTGCCCGTGTCAATATCATCGTCACCATCACTTTCAATGTCATTGTCACCATCATTGTCACAGTTATTGTCACCATCATTGTCAATATCATTGTCAATGTTGATGTCAGTGTTGATGTCAGTGTTGATGTCAGTGTTGATGTCAGTGTCAAGATAGATTATGCAGAGGATAAAAATTCATAAATAAGACAAAGTACCATTCACTTACCAAAAGTAGCAATTTCCCATACTAGCACTCCAAACGACCATCTAAACAAAGAAATGAAATTTTACATTAATTTTTGGCTACTATAGAGCTGAAGTATCACATCAGATAAGGTACAGCTTGAAAACCATCAATTAAATCTAAGAGAAGTTACATCAGGTTGAAACATCAGCAAAAGAGAAATAACATGTAAGCTTGGACAAGAAGTGTAGCAACGTCGAACTGACACAGCATGAAAAGATGGCAGTTTCATAAAAAAAAAACAACAGTATCACAGTAACATCAAAGTAAATTATTCTTACACATCACTTTTCGTGGTATAAACTCTATCGATCAATGCCTCAAGCGCCATCCACTTGACTGGAAGTCTTCCCTAAGAAAGGATAGTAGAGAGAATATACGAACGTGTAAAACACTTCCCCGTGTTTATGGATAATAAACCACATCTTGAGGTTGAACACTAGCTGCAAGTAAAGTGATGATCTATGCATTTTTTAGGTCTAAAAACAATTGCTAGAAGAGATAATCACAAGAGAACCCAGGATATATATAATAAAAGTCGTATTAGGACCGAATGAACTGTATCCTTTGTGGAAAGTGCTCAGTTAACAATAAGACAACTCGGTGCCAATATCAACGGTTAGCCATAGATTCTGTATTATGATCATCTGGGGTGAGGTCTGCGCTGTTGTCTGTGACTGACTGTCTGTCCACTGTCCACTGACGTTTCAACAACCTGAGAATCTAGCAGCTGTTGGGTTGCACGGGTGGAAGCTTACAAATGGTCTCCGATGACCACAAAACGAAAGAAATGCTGGCTATAATGTTTGAAGCAATAATACCTTACACAACAACATCCAACAACAATCTTTGGTCACGAAATTTCTGCAAGCGTTTGCACGAGCTACCAACATTGACAAGTCGGTTTTCCATGATGCGCATACAATATTTCCATCCGAGTTGAAACATTCTGTCTTCGAGTGATTTGCGTTATAGAAGATACCCAATCAAGACAGCTCGTACTTTCTTCTGACGCATTTTCGGCTTGATAAGTGCTCGATCATGTTTCGGCAATATCACTAAGACATTAAATATTTGTTCTTTGCTATCTATAATCTTACGTCTGTTGTTTTCCGATAATAATCATCGTCTCGCACGTTCCTCGCTAGACCAAAATCAGCAATTTTTATGACGTAGTCTTGGGCCACCAAAATATTTCTTGCTGCCAAATCTCTGTGAATGCACTAAAAAAGACCAAAAAATTAAAGTAGTGAGTTATTTTTCATATAATGGTATGGAGCTCTTTTCAATGGAGTGTCGTAAAACCAGAACCAAAGTAATTTCAAAGGCCAATCACAAGTAAGAAATAACGCCGAGCCAATGAGAACTCAAAGTGAAAACAAGCAAATCGCATAAAACGCGAGAGAACGTGGGCGACCAAGTCGCAATTGACGTTAGTTGTGCATCTGATTGGTTGAGAGAGCGGCGAGAGTTTTCTGGACCAATCACAGAGTAAAGGAAAGCAAAACCAATTCAATCCCGGATTACTCTCACGATCGTGACGAGAAAATTAAGGATAGAGCCCTTGGGAGGGAGGTTGTTCTTAATCAAATCTAAAGCATATTCCGTTCGAAAGTTATGCGATCAGACAAATCAGTCACATAGCATGTGAAGTAGCATACAAAAACCCGAAAATATAACAACGGATCAGCTCCTTGTTTCATTTCCGTGAAAACGTAATTAAACAAGCAAGATTATTGTTGTTCACCTTTCTGGATGACAGAAATTCCATTCCTTTTGCTACTTGATAGCAATAAGACATAAGATCTTGAAGAGTAAGTTGCTCTGGAGAGAGGCTATCAGCCTCATTATGGTACTCCAACCCAGGTCTCCTCTCTTGAAGGAACTGCCGAAGGTTGCCATGAGCCGCGAATTCTACCACAACAAATAAGGGACCTGGAAAGCAAAACAAACGATGCAAGGTTAAGCGACAAGTAAGTTCCTCTCCTACGTGACGATGTGGTTGATATCAAACATACTGACAAGCAACGTAACCAGCGTAAGGAAGAAAAGATGGTAACAGATTATGTCAGATCAATATAGATCAATTATAGTGAAAGACATGTCTTGAAGAGTGCGTGGATTTATGCATGGTTACTTCACGACATGATTCAAAGAAAAAAAAAAGAATTTCATCTCTTGACCCACCAACCCCTTAGAGTGTCTAACATCTAATTTCTCCTTCCAATACCACCCTTGAGTCAAACATTACGGTAACAAAAATATAGGGAAAGATCACCGAGTAAAGAGATTCTTGATCGTTGAACAAATTCTCTTTGTCAGCACCATAGGAAATGTATGGAGAACGGTATGGAGAATATGCATACTGATGTTCGGGTGAAAAGGCCTAACCAAAGGAGAAAATTACCTTCCTGTGTACACACTCCCAATAAGTTGATGATATTTTTATGTTTTCCTATTGTCTTCATCACTTTCATTTCCGACACCAAGTCCATCAATTCCTGATCCGTCGCATCCTCTGCAAATCATAACAAAAGATCACAAAACATTTATTGGTAATTCTTATATCAAGACAAGCATCACACCGTTGTAAGCTCTATGATTACCAAAATGAGTTTAGCTTGCCCTTACGTCGCATCATTGCTCGGAAATGAAATGCACGCAAGTAGAAGAATTATATAAAAGAAATGTTATGTACTTTGACTTGCGCGGTAAAGGGGGCCCACAAAAAACCAGCGTGACTAAGTGGGGCCTCAAAATAGGTCCCCTCACTTACCTTTAAGCATTTTCACAGCTACAGTACAACCTAGGCCAAGAGCATCTGCTCTGATAACTCGTCCAAATGCTCCTTCACCGAGTATGTCAGAGAGAACCAACGAAAATCTGTCAATCTCCCAAGCTTCTTCATATGGCACTTCGATGTCCGACACCTAACCATAATACAGAGAAAAATAGACAACTAGGTATAAATGGGGTGGGAAAAAGAGGAGAACATGTGCATCCAAAACAACACAAAATGGGCTCACACCAAGTGAAAATGTGAAGCTTAAGTACAAATTTCAGTTGTCGATAACCTTTTCCGTGGGCAGCTGTCGATGGTGTACTAGGCGGAGTGTTGCTTGTCCTTAAATATCATTATTGCTCGGAAGAAAAATTTGAAGTCCACCCAAGAAGTAGAAGACTATAAAGGAAATGTTATGCGCTTTGCCTAACACGGTAAAGGGGGGAAGGGGGAGGGGAAGTTGACAGTTAAGCATCTTTGATAGTGTGGCATGGTGAAACCCAAACACGAAAACCTATTCGATGGCTAAACAGACGGCGGTAAGAGGTCTCACAGGCGGCAGAAGACCACCAGAAAGTGTCTTTTATCTAACCCTCACCTGTGTTAACCTCGATTCCAGGCGACTGCGAAAGCTCCTTTGACGCATTAAGGAAAGCGCTGAGGCTGTAGAAGAAACAGACGCTGTTCTTGGAGCGAAGCGTTGTGATTCGATGACAGCACCTTCTGTTACGACGTCGTATTTTACATCTAAGTTGCGACTCTTCTTACGCTTTCTCAAGCGCACACAATAGATAACTGCACAGATGATCAATAACAGTATGAAGATAAAAGCGCCGACACCGAAAAGAGTAATCTCCAATGGACTTAAAATCGGAGGGGGACCTGATACATCACTTACTGGAGCAGCGCTTTCTGTATCTGGTCGAGTTGTGACTGACGGTGTACCTGAGAATGACATTATAAAATTCTCGTTGATTATGAAAAACAATGAAAATCGCAGTAGTCAAAGTGTTGTGGACTCACGAGGCGCAGCCAATAGTGGTAAAAAATTGATTGACTGAATTAATTTTAAATTAAGTTACTTGAATGGAGTCACACATTTTCGGATTTGGGGGTATGAAAATTCTGGAAAGTAGGGATTTTAAAATGGAAAGATGCGTGATTTAAAAGTTGTTACCGTATTACCAAGAGTGATTAAGGGGTCCATAATTGGCCAAAGAGTAGACTATAATGGGGTAAAGGTTCTAAGGGGCCAGCAGCACAAACCCAGCAAAAACTGATCCAAAATTCTCCCCCGGCGAGAGGAAGCCTGCATCCATCTCTACCCCTGGGTGGGAGAGGCACTGTGAGGGTAAAGTGTCTTGCCTGCGAACAACAGGCCAGGTATCGAGCCCGCAAACCAGAGCACGTACCACCATATCGCCCACTGAATATTGGCTCTTTATCTTCCATATCTCCCTTACCGCTCCCAAACCCTTTTTAACCCTTTACCTTCCATGAGTAAGCAAGACAGAATTTCTCCTCTCAATATCAATACAGTACCAAGAAGAAAAGTGATGAGAATAGGAACTGTATGTCAGACAGTAGGGAGAATCACTAATGAGATTTTAGGAGTGAAAAGGGCTAACAGATAGTCTGGAGTGGGTTTCTGAAGTAACATAATCCATTTGCCTCAGCATGCTTACTCAATCACTTCCTACCTGAAGGAGATGGTGTAATGGGCCTTGTAGTCACATTAAGCGGGGTCTGACGTTTAACAGTTCCAACGATATTTTCAGCCAGGCACCAATATGAACCCGAATCAGCCACAGAAAGATTTTTCAAATTCAGGACTACCTTCCATTTAAGCCACGATACACCGCTACTAGGCTGTGTCTCCAGACGACTTTCAGACAAAGTTTGGTTAATTAAAGTGCCTAGATTGTTTTCATCTGGAAAAAAGCTTTTGCTGAAATACCAAAAGAATTTCGTATTCTCATCCTTGGAAAGGACAATGGCGTGCATCTGCAAATCGGTTCCAGCATATTCAGGTTTTTTCTGTTCCCAAATAGATAAGATCTGAGGAGCACTTCGAATTTTCTCTATGAAAAAAGACAAAACAGAGTAAATGCCAGATAAAGGTCAAAACAAAATCCGGTAGAGACTTTCTTGTCATGCAATGTTTCATTTTTATGACGGCCTATGGTAAGGAAAATCGTTTTACAGGTTAAAGCATATCTCACCGAAGTAGACTCGGCTATTTCTATCATATCAATTGAATTGTCGACCACTGAAATGGGTACTAGCATAGATGTGAACATCTCACGGCAATCGCGGATACCGCAAGTTAAACCGCATTCCTGAGCATAAAGTTAAATCAGGTAAGGGGGGCTAGATTACGACTGG